GGTCAGAGCTCAGGGCAGCCCGAGCCTCCCCGCCCCAGCTGCTTCCCCCTTTGTCTTTCACAGGCATCCCACCCCCATTAATGTGTGCACCCCAACTCTCTGTGACCGCTTCCTGGAGACGCAGACGGACACATGGCCCTAAGCCAGCCTCCTCCTGGGCCTGGTCTCTGCTGCCTCTCTCCCCCGCTCCCACCCCATTTCCCGCACAGAGCGGCAGTGACTTCCAACAACCCAAGTCAGATTGGGTCACTCCCCGGCTTTAAAACAGCCGACCTTTGCCCTTGGGATACAGGGTCCAGACTTCTTCCTGCGGCCTGAGGCTCTGCCGTGCCCCCTGCTCCAACCCTCCCCCTGCTCACCGCGCTTCAGCCGCACCCGCCTTCTCTCCCTCCCTCCGTACACCCTGTGCTTGGCTGGTCTCTGACCCCGGGCCTCACATCCACGTTTCAGCTCCCCTGTCACCTCCCCAAAAAGGCCTGCCCGCAGGACCCATCCCAGGGACCAGTTAGATCTGAGCTTCAGATAGATGTTAGATGCATGTTATTTTACACGTGTTCATGTTACAGGCATATGTTGTTTTAGTAGAAGCGCACCCCAATATTGCAGCCACTCGCAGGGCGTCCGGCATTTTATTGGGTAACCTGCCCCCTCCCGCCCCCGCCTCTACGTCAAACCTCATTTTATCATCTTCGCTGTAGCTGCCAGCGAGCCCAATCGTCTTGTTGATCTAGTGTCTGTATTTCCCTGATACGGGGACCCCGCTGGACACTTTAGGGAAGTGGAGGCTGATCTGTGCTGTCAGGACCCTGTCAGGGCCCGGCAGGGGTGCTAGCCACGGCTTATGGTCGTTAGGAAGTGATGGCCCAGGCCCCTGTGGCCAGCTCTCTCTGGTTTGTGCCTTTGCTGCTGTTAATCCTCACGCAGGACATTTTCCCATTTATTTCAGGGAGAGTGGGAGGGGGAGAAACAGACAGAAGCTTTGATAGGAGCGAGACACATCCATTGGTTGCCTCCCACTCGTGCCCGCCGGGCGCGGGGTGGAGCCAGCAACGGGGAGAATCGAACCCGGGACCTTCAGTCCACAGCCCAGGTTCTACCCGCGGAGTCAAACCGCCCAGGGCCCTTCCAGCTCTCTAACCACCGGGAAAATGCCCTCGGGAGGGGACTAACAGTGACAACGAGAAATGTTTTTAACTTAAAAACAAAGTGATAGAAAAAAAGAACAAAAAATAATAAAAATAAAAATAATAAATAAAAACAAAGTGATAAATGCGCAACAGCCCTTACACCGCTGCATGTCATTGGCGGGTGGGGCTGCAGCGCCTTTGCAGCCAGGGTCCCGGGAAGCCAGGCTCTGGGAC